GACGTCGCGACGGGCATCACCAGCTTTAGTTTGGGAATTGGGGATTGGGGTTTGTTTGGGGTTTGGGGTTTGGGGTTTAGGGTTTAGGGTCTATAGGGTTTTTTTGCGCACTGCCAGCACAAACCGCGAAAAGTCCTATAGCACACCAAATTAGGCTTCTAAAGCTATAGGAAAAAGAAGCCCTGCATTAAAAAAACAAAACAAAGCTACGAGACCCTAAACCCTAAACCCTAAACCCTAAGGCTCGTTGAAGCCTGTTGTCCCGCCTGGGGCATCAGCGCGATGGGCCCGGTGACCAGCTGGAGGCCCAACAGCATCACCACGAAGCCCACAAGACGCAGGATCATGACCTGCTTCGATGTAGGGTTTAGGAGGATTTTTTGGGTTCCGGGTTTCAGAAGGGCTTTCTAGTGGTTTGTAAGGGTTGGCTGGGGTTTATGGAATTGTGGCCTGCTGGTCTTTGAGTTGGGGGTGTTGGCCGGAGTTGCATAAGGCTTTCTAGCAGTGTACCTGGGTTTGGTGGAGGTTATGGAGTTATGAGGATGTGAGACTGTAGTGTTTCAGACCTCAGGAGTCATGCCCTGCTGATCTGAACCACGAAACCTCAACCGTTAACCCCAAACCCTAAACCTTCCCGCAGCCTAACAAGGGCTTTACAAGGATTCTTGTAGAGGTTTCCTGAAGCTTAAACCCTCAAGCCTAAACCCTAAACCCTAAGGATTTAGGGATGCGCATGGATGGTGTGCAGTTAAATTCGGCTTTGGGGGGCGCTGAGTTTTGACAAACAAAACCCTACAGGAAAGGCAGGACCTGCCCTGAAATGTCGCCAGAGCCCGAAACCCCCTAATGAAAGAAAAGACCTCGCATCGTACCTACCTCCCCCTCCATACGGTAAGGTAAAGTTTAGAGCTTAGGGGTTTTGGGTTTAGGGTTTAGGGTTTGGGGCATACTCGTTTGTTCAAGGGTTTCGGGCTCTCTTGGTCGCGGGCTGGCTTGGGTTCTGCTTCCAAGTCACCATGGCACCGTTCTCACTCGACTTCGCATCGATCATGTCCTCACGCCGACAAGGAGAAACAGGCTCGAGGCATCTTAGTGCAGAAGGAAGGGATAACTTTCATAGTGATTCGCTCCTCGATTTAGATCACCTCGAGGCTGTGATTGGGATAGATGAAGGGTGCGTGCGTGCTACTAAGAACCTTCAAAACTTTAAGCCTCGAAGCCGCAAAGTTTATGAGGTCCGAATGAATAGGGCCTGGAATGGAAGCACTTTAGCAAAAAACAAGGAACTATGCGGGAACATCGCTACTCATAGCTCAGAAACCCCAGATTCACACCGTTAAAAGCTTCTTCTGGAACCTTAGACTACCAAATAGCATCCTGGTAAAACCCTACAGTAGCCCCCTAAACCCTAAACCTAAAACCCTAAACCCTAAACCCGAAAAGGCTGACGATTCAAGCCCCTAAACCCTAAACCCTAAACCCTAAACCCTAAACCCTAAACCCTAAACCGGCTCTTAGAAGCCCACAGTTCCCCAATGTGAGATGCGCAGTTGCCAGACTCGATGCACCTTACGAAGTGCTTTGGGTCGAGGGGCCCCTTGGGGGTGGTTTAGGGTTTAGGGTNNGGGTTTAGGGTTTGGGGTGAAGGGCTTAGACAAACAGTAAATGCTGAACCGGTTTCGAGCTTGGGGTTGAGCTCCATTGGGCCTAAATTCGCGGAGCCCAAACCCCGAAACCCTTGGCCAAAATTAGGGTTTAGGGTTTAGGGTTTAGGAACAACCTTGAGCTGTAAATCCTAAAAGGATCTGTGCCACACGCAGCAAAAGAAATGGCCTACACGAACAACACACACGACATGAAAGCTACCCCTAAACCCTAAACCCTAAACCCTAAAGTACCACTACCATCAGTACAGCACGGGCACTGAGAGAAGGCGTAAGACCACCAATGGCAATGACCGCAAACAAGATATGATATTCACAACCAATAACCCTAAAACCCTAAACCCTAAAGCCTTAAACCCTATAAACCCTATAAACCCTATAAACCCTATAAACCCTATAAACCCTATAAACCCTAAACCCCTAAACCCTAAATCCAATAAACTAGTAAGCAATCATAACCAGACAGAGAGCAATAGCTATGTCATAGCAAGTTCAAAAAGCTCTTACCCTAAACCCCAAACCCTAAATCCCAACCGTCGAGGCCTAGGGTTTAGGGTTTAGGGTTTAGGGTTTAGGGTTTAGGGTTTAGGGTTTAGGGTTTAGGGTTTAGGGTTTAGGGTTTAGGGTTCAGGGTTTAGGTAAACCCTGAGAGACCTGAACCCTGCGAGACCTGCTTTGTGTGATAGCCCGCTTGGGCCCAGTTCACCGTGGACATGGTGCCACTCCTGAGTTCCGGGCATCATAAGGGGCTTAGGGGATTCCGGGTTTAGGGGTTCAGGGGTTTAGGGGTTTAGGGGTTTAGGGGTTTAGGGGTTTGGGGGTTTAGGGTTTAGGGTTTAGGGTTTAGGGTCTAGGGTTGGAGAGGTTTAGGGTTTAGGGTTTAGGGCTTTAGGATTTAGGGATAGGCTTTCGGGGTTTAGGCTTTAGGGTTTAGGGCTCAAGGCTCCAAGGATGTGCGTTGTACAAGGGTTTGATGGGCTTGCGCAGGGCTTACCAGGATTCGTAGGGGCTTATACAGGTCCTCAAAGCATGACCACGGTCATTCAATAGGACAACTCCCTTAAATAAAACTCTACCTATAACCTAGCTTCCGAGCCGCTTGATCTTCAAAGTCAGGCTTAAAATGTTTTGGAGCTTAGGGTTTATAAGTTTATAGGTACTTCTCTCAAAGCCGGGTCCCTTTTACGCTCCTTGTTTTAAGGGTGCCTTACTATTTTGGGGAAACCTAAAAGGAACCCTAATTTAAAGAACTACCCTAAACCCTAAACCCTAAATCCTAAAACCTAAACACTAAAACCCTAAA